AGCCAAAGGTTTTTTTCAATTATTCTTCCCTTCTATGTTTATGATTTTTTAGTATACAAATTGAAAGCCAGTTAACCCTCTCTGTAACAAATTACAGCTTTGCTGCCTCCTTCCAATCCAATCTAATACAAGATTAATGCTAGGTTTAAGAAGTAGTTATAGCAAGATCTTAATGACCGCACACCTGAGCCACGGTTTAATAATCAGCTATTGCCGTGCTCTGGTTTACAATGCTGCTTTCTTCATACTGCTTTGTCTCTACAGAAGCTAATGAAAGACACTTCTGTGCCCATACCTCTTTTCACTCTGGGAATGTCACAGCTTCTAAGGACAGAAAGGTTTTCCCACTGGCCTCTTCTGTATGGGGTAAATCTCCATCATAAAACATTTTCTAAGCATTTGAGCAGAATGGGGAGGGGGTGTGTGTGTGAGAATGTGTTCCAGAGCTTTTTCCTTCATTGCTGAAAGTGTGAAATAAGCCTGGTGCAAGCATCCAGACCCTGCAGACATGCTGGTACACCTGGCCTGAGTCCTCTTTTGCAGTTGATGAAGGGTGACCAAGGCCTGTTCTATTACGTAAAACTTTGTGTGTGTATTTAAGACCATTTCAGACAGTTCATTATTCAACAAAACTATTACAGAAAAATATGCAGCCTGGACATAACTCTTGACAGAAATCAGTTTAGCAATGCCAGAGAAGATCCTCTCCTTGGCACCTGCGGTTGCAGTAGAGAAGTCCCAAGTATCTCTGGGTACTTCAGCCTCCTCCTGAGGGCTGGTGATGGTAGGACTGAATGCAGAGGGCAGCTTTTGGAGAAGAGACTGCTACTCTCAGGTGATACACCATAGATACTCAGTCTGCTGGGAGTGCTTGGACCCAATTTACAGTTGGCAAACTTCAAAGAAATAAAATAAAACATCTTTTGTGACATTACAATGAAGAAAGATTAATTCTTTTAAAAGGCAGTAAGAAGAGAAACCCAAGGAACAGAAACATAGGATCGAATAAGATTTCATTCACTTCTTGCCATCTGGGAATAAGATTTGTGAGGGAACATTGTTCTTATCCTCATAAACTTCTCAAACTAAGTTAAGGCCAGTCAAGATTGTGGTGCATATTAGCAGATTCTAATGACATGAGTTTACAATAATAGTCTAATAGTTCAGTGTAACAGTGACTCACAACTTATTACTTTAGTGATAGGAATGTAGAAATCTCATTTGAAAAAAAAATCTATTTGGATAGTTCGCATCCTTTCCTCCCTGCTCATGAATTCCTCTGTCATTGACTGCTGGCTGCTAAAAATAGGATCCTTTCTGTGTATCTCAAGTAAAGGAAAACCTAGAATCAGAGAGACAGTAGGAGGGCACCAGGTTTCTTACATACAGAGCCTTCAAGACATATTTGTAATGAACGCCCTCTGAGAGTGCAGGAATGTTTTTATAAGATGAGAACAATACCAGTGTAAGAAGGTATTTTGCAAGGAAGAAGGAGAAGAGTTAATGAATCACACCAGCTCCCAGCTTTGGTGTTTTGCACCATGGGGATGGAAGGATTCCTTTTTTTATGAGATGCAGGACCAAGCTCCAGTTTTGTCTTGGGCAAGCTGTTCCACTTCAGCAGCAGGAGAGGAAGCTTCAGGGAACAGCCCAGGAGTGGCCCCGTGGGCTGATAAGGAGCCACAGGAGGAGACTCTCTAGGAGTCACTTGAAGTACAAATCTCTTAAGTACAGCAGCAGGAAGGAGGAACTAGAAAGACACAAGTAAAGTATCTGCAAATTAAATGGATTACCACCACCACCCCTTCGAAAAAGAAACAAACCCACATGTCATCTCAGAAACAAACCGCTGAAGTGTGAAACCGTGCGGCAGGAAAAGCTGTCACAGAGAATCAGAAATGGATTTAATAGAGAAAAATTGACTACAGCATAATTTGTGCAGATTGCTAGCTGAGAGACCCACAGCTCTTAAAGGCTCAGCTATGGGCACCATCTGCAAAAAGGTGTGGAAAGCAAAATTTCATCGTTGGCAAGTCTATGTGTACTGAATGCTTCCTCTTCAATACCGGACAATTAAAATCAATGACAGGATGCTAGGTAACGAAAGAAAATCAAGACTGATCAATATGCATGACTTGGAGCTGAAGAAAAACCCGTCTGCTGAGAGCAACATGCTGATGAGGCGAGATTTCCAAGAACACAGATAGAAAATCTTAAGAGCTTCCATTCGTGATGCTCGATAAAACAATGCAGCTTGGCAGATGCTAGACTGCAGTGCTAGGAGAGGTGCAGTCACCAAGGACGCTAAAGAATAGCTGTTAGGAAAAAACAGGGAATATTCATTTCTAGACTAAATTGCTTTAGAGTCAAAAATGTGATGCTTCTCTTCTTTGCTTTTCTTTCTACAGATCTCAAAAGCCCTTTACTGATACTGAAAAATAGTCTTTTGCATACCCATGTGAGGTTTTAGAGATGCTGAAACACTGACATTTTAAGGCCAATGTCCATTTTAGTCCTCAGCTCAAAGCACTTTAAACCTCGTTTCCATGTATATTTCAGCTGGGGGTGTCTGCCAGAAATCGAACACCAAATTTTCCATGATTCAGTAGTTTTAAACCTGTCAACCAGATTTCTGAATGCTTTTGAAAATGTTGCTGTAAAGCATGGGGACTGCCATGGCTCTGGCCTGACAGGGAATGGCACACAACCTGCAGGTTTGTTCACCCGGTTTTCCCCTCCTGAATGGTGGTTTTTGTTTTGGAGGCAACAGATCATAAACTGGCACCCAAGCACCTTAGGACTTGCAGCTCTTCCACTGAGTTCTGCTGACACAAACAGAAGGCTGAAGATTAGAGCCAGAAAAATGCTGCAGAAACTTTGTGAAAGTTCACTTCATTGTCACCCCCACATTTGCCTGACTGTATTTCCTCTGATTCCATCCTGTTCCTAACTTTAGCATCCTAAACAGTGGCCTCATGACTTTGATTTCATTCAGAAAGGAAAGATTCATAGCATTGAGCCTACACATTCTCACTGGGCTTAGCACAAGGGTTTTTCTCCTCCTCACCTCCTGCCAATGCAGACCATATTCATTCCCACCTTCCAGTCCAGCCCCACCAAAACCCCAACCTACGCAAGACTAAGAACTGGGGAAAAGTGGAAACAAAGCCCCTCTGCTGGCTGCAGGCCAGGAGGAACCCCAGGGGCAGCTGATGGAACATTCTCCAGCTGAGAGAGGAGAAATCATGTCTGGTGGGCATAGGCAGCCCCAGCCTCTGCCACTGCAGGAGCAGCTTCATCAGTAGAAACAGGAGGAGGGAAAAGCACGTCACTAAGCCAGGCTCTGCTATGGGAACACAAAATGCATTGTTTCTAAATCAGACTTTGTAACAGCTTAAGACTCAAATACACCTTCAGTTAATTAAACCTTTGCAGAGCAGCACAGCTCCAGTTGATTCAACAATATTAATTCTCCTGAGTGTAAATTTTGCTACAAAATAAACAAGCCTTCTGGGTAGTGCTTGATGGTGGTTCATCATGACGTTGGGTTGGGTTCAAATGCTAGTGGAGATCAGCTGAACCAGAAATGGGTTTAACATAGCACCTGGGGAAAATTACCTTTAGTGAAGTATTTGTATACAGCACATGTCAGGTTGTGTAGTAAAACCCCAGCAGGTCTGACAGAGGTGCTTTTCAAGAAGCTCCATTAGCATGCTTTCCAGTAATGTGAACCTTCTGTTTGATGTTTACATTTACTGCTGCCTTAAAATATATTTCCAGGATGCTCACACAACATTTTCCCAGCCATTTTTTTATGTATAATTATATTTTCTTCCATATGCTATTTTTCTTCCTGTAAACGTGCCCTCTGGACCATGCAGGGTGTCAGTCATGATAAAGCAACTCATGTCGGCATGAAGGAAAACAGAATTTGATCTGTCAAGGGGCAATGCTTCATCTCACAGTCTCCATCTCTGAAGCTGAGAATGTTCTGCAGCAGTTACTGAATTTCACCAGGTAAACGCTGTCCTCCAAATAAAGAGGAAATGGCGCTGATGTTCTGCATCAAAGTGAAATAGAGGACTGGGAATATTTCTTTGGCACAAGAGGAACAACAGCTAGAAAAGACCTGCCACAGCTGGACCCCCTGACCTTGCCTGACTCTCACACTCAAATATAGGTGGAAACCATTAACTGCTCAAACACATGCAGACAGGTGGGTAGTGCAAAGTGGGACTCTCCTGGCAGGCTGCTCTGCCAGCAATTTCTATCTAGAGTAATGCAGTCAGGGATGGCTTCTATGTCACTTTCCATATGTTCACTCATAAAAGCCATAGCAAAGACATTCTTCGTATGCTTGGAATATTGTCCAGCAAGCGGCACAGCAACAGCCCTTCCTGTTGTGACGTACAGCTTGTCCTTGACCTCCAGAAATTCCTTCCAACCAACACTTCCGTGATTGGGGATCCTTCATCTTTTCCTGGGGCAGGGCCTTGGCCTGGCAGCTGCTGGATTTCGAGTTATTTCCCTGGCTTGGCCTGACTCTGAGCCAAAGGAAATAAAGCTGGCAAAATCCTCCTGATCACTGCACTGCAATGTATCCCCTGCCGGGGCCTCCAGAAAGACTGTGGAGCAGGAGCCAACTGCCTGGCATCCCTGCTTCCTGGGGGCCGACAGCAGAGGCCCCGGCTTATCCCCTCCAGCCTGCTGGGCACCAGGGCTGAAGCGAGTCCAGGACAGCAATGGACACAGCCCACAGAGCCAAAAACAAGCACTGCAGAGGAACCACACTTGTCTGAAGAACAATACCTTGAGCATTTTCCTCCTGGTGTGACACAGCTCTGCCTCCCCCAGGCACCACCAAAAGCCTCCTCTGAGGAAGCTGTTTAGGCAAAACATGAAAAACAACCCCTCAACCTAGCCCATGTCATTTCTCACTGACACTTAATTTTGACACCTAGTATCTCTTCTCCGATGCCCGTGAAGGAGATTCAGCCTGCTGGGTTTTAATTCTTGATTTATTTTAAAAGTTCTCACAAGTAGCAAATTTTTGGGGTTTTGAGGAGAAAAAACACAGAAGGGTTGACTATTTGCAGAATGGCTACACAACACATAGGCTTCTCCACAGATTCAATCAGGTTAGAAGTAATAAAAATATATATGTATATATATATAAAAATATATGATTTGGTACTAAGATTCAACTAAGACAATTTCAGTGAGGAAAGGAAACAAAATGGGACAAAAAAAAAAGCACAACATCACAATTTTATAAGTTCCTTTCTTAAAGATGTTCAAATTTTTGACCTTCCACTGAGCGTGAAAGAGGGGAGGAAAATCCCAACTGCCACTGAAACGTGTTTACAGTAACTAGACTTTATACTGTTCACAGATGTCACCCTCCACTGTGACCAGACAGGTATCAAAATGTCAGAAGCACACAATCTGGTTTTTACATAGAAGAGGATACATATTTAAGGCACATACTTTACATTTATGGGCTGTTACCTCACTTTTTATTACCCCAAGTAATTATCTTAGCCTCCAGGACAAGCCTGCAGTAAAGCAACAGCCTGACAGCAACAACATTCACCCAGCATCGCGTCAGGCAGACCAGGGGACCAGGACAGGGAAAGCCCACCCAAGCACTGACATCTTTCACCATTAACTGGAATATTGCATTTACCTATTGGAAGCCAGAAGATTTAGGAATTCAGCTCTGGTTTCTGCTTTCCTGATCAGAAGCAGCCATTCCCCCATCCAATGATCACCGATCATCGATCACAAACATGATTATTTTTGCTGCTGTTACTTTTTTCCTCATTCCCAACATCCCAAATCCCAAACCACCCATCAGGACTCACTACACGAGATTCAATCTGTCAAAACTCACGCTAGTTTTGGTATGGCCTCCTTAGAAGAGTGAAGAGATAAAAAAACACTTCTCTTTGTCAGCGGGCAGGACCCTCGCAGGGTGTCAGCACGGGCCATTACCTCCCTCTAGCGTCTGCAGCGCAGCCTCCTGAGCCTCTGCTCCCCACGAACTAGTTACCAGAGTCCTTTCAGTTCTCAGAACAAGAGGAATCTGGTTTGGTCCTGCGAGTAATGACCCATAATTAATGTTTACAGACACTCCAGAGTATGAGAATTCATTGAGCCCCAGGAGCGTGCCTGGGGATCAAGCAGCCTCCAGAAGAAACTCTCCTGCAATTAACTTTTACCGATTATGCAGACCCCCCGAGGCAAGCAGCTGTCTCCACTACTGCAGGATGCCTGAGGGCAATAGGACATGAAGCCCAACTATTCAGAAACTCCCTCATCAGCTTAACTTTTCTCCTGCCATGCCCACAGACTGCTCACTCGTTCTAGCAAAACAGAAAGGTACAAATGTCACCTTGGCACAATGGCAGCAGTTTATGTTTGCAGGAGGGCTTGAATAACTCCCAGCTCATGAGCCTGTCCATAAACGAGCCCTGACACTAACATGATGTGTGTGAACAAGCTCCATCCACCATGTTCAGGTCAATGGCTGGCTGCTGTCAGGACTTTACACCACCACCGTTCATCAACAAGGTGCGTGAGGGAGAGGCAGGAGCACATGTTTCAGTCTGTACCTCAGCCATGGTAATGCTGTACAACAAATCCTTTTTAAAAAAAACCAACAAAATCACATCCAGATGCAACCTTAAAAATTTAAACTAGTAAAACATTAAGCTGTAAAATCAACATGAGTCAGTAGCTGAAGTAATGAGTGAAGGGCCAGAGTTCAAGCAGCTGCAGATACATAAGCAAGGTGCCTTTCTTCCCAATTTATAAAGTAAATATTTGCTGTAAATCTGTTTAATACACCGAGGGGTTGCTTTAAAATGCTACTTTGGGCAGAACTCTTGCCCCAGAGCCCTGCGCACAGAGAACTGATGAGATCCACTGGTCGCTCTGAAGGATCCAAGTCTAACAAGCAGAACAAGATCAATGCTGCTCTGAGCCTTAGCCACAGAAACACTGTAATTATTGTGGTGGTTCATTTAAATATGCTCTTTCCTATCAAGGTAATACTAGCCTTTATATTTTAAGCAGCCTAATTAATAATTTAATACACTCTTTATTCAATATTTATCCCTATGCCTTTGAGGCACCCCAACAGCTGATGTGTTTTGGAAGGCTCTTAAAGGTGAAGCATTTAAGATCTGGATCCTCAAAGATGCATAGCCCCATTCCTGCACCAACAGCAGCCTGCACTTTGTGCAGTAATGACTTTCACAGAAAATAATATGTTTTATGAATTTCTACTAAAGGAAGGCTCTGTTGTAAACATTTTGTAACCTCTGGGAATGTAAAATATTGGTATGAGGTCACTTAATCAAAACGTGACCTGAGCAGAAGACAGGCACAACCAAGGTCATACAACAGTGTATCCTTCTTGCTTTCAACAACTAGAGTAAACTTGAGGGACTGCCTCAGAAAATACTAGTGACAAGGGATTTACCCTGTAAAGGAATACAAGACAGGAACACTGTGATATAACTTGAGGAGAAAAACCTCCACAGAAAATACACCAAGCTCAGTAATTCCGCATTAGTTATAATTACATAGATAATTGCTCTAATTTTTCAGATATTGCTAAGCATAATGGGAGAACCATTCATTTCTTTAACAATTAAAATACACTTCTGCTTTTGTCCAAACAAGGACTGAAGAAGACTGTCTACCCTCAGAACCAGTGTGGGCCAAAGACTGGCCAGCAGCAGGGCAGGCTGGGCCTCCCTGCTGAAACCAGCCATTCTCATGGCACCAGCCATTCACAGAACAGGAAAGTAAGTCTGAAACCTCAGTTCCTGCAGATCACCAGGCAGCCATGGGACTTCACTGGATTTAAAACCTTAAACATTACTATAGCCATTAAACAGCCTTTAAAATAATAAGAAATACTTGTTTAAGAAAGCTTGCTGTTTGAAACTCTGAGGGCTTATTAAATGCTTATAATAGAGCCTTCTTGTATTAGACAGTATTTAAACATCTATTTTCTGTATTTTCAGTGAAAGTGCTTCCTACACAAAATGCTGGATACTCACTGACTTGAGCAGGAACAGCCACAGAGTTGCTTTATTTCCCCTTCCAAGTTATGAAGAAGTACAAGAGAAGATTCTTTGCTCCCAGTCGCAGGCTCCAAACACTGACTGCAAGGATCCAGGCTCTGAAGTGGTTCAAGATCCTATGTGAAAAGACACCACAGTCCAAAGGTGCAGCCAGGACAGAGTGCAGAAGAACATCTCGCTCTTGTGACTTTGCATCACGGCAGCATGAGGGATTTTGCCAGTCTTGTCCAGAACCACTTTTTGGTGCAAGGATTGGTGTAGTCACAAACGGTAATGAACCGTAAGATGCTTGGGAACTCGTTCTTCATGGTTTTGCACTTGACTGGAATCAGCCGTTTGAGACGAGCACCTGAAAGACAGATCACATAGGCAGAGGATCACACAGAACAACAGGCAGGTCCTGGATCGATTTTCTCCCCAGCACAGCACACATGTCACAGGATCCACGCTTGCTCCCAGCTGTGTGTCATCTCATTACACTGCAGCTAGCTCTCACTTCAAGAGCAAGTATCTGAATCCCAAGATCCCTGCTAAGAACATTTCACTCAACTACGAGCCTCATCCATAACATGTAGGGCAACTTGCAGTGATCCCAAATGGGTGAGATAATGGCCCAATGCCCTGCAGATACAAAACAACAAAGCACAGCTTCTTGTAGAACACAAACAGGTATATACAATCCTGTCTACTTCCAGGTATGCATAAAGAGAAAATTCAGGAGACTAAGCTGCTTCTGTAAGGTCAGCTTTGCCGGGTTATCTCCATTTCTTTTTCTTCCTACCCTGATTTACTTAGATAGGCTGCAGATGTGTTCCAACAGGGGGCTGCAAGAAATCACCCTGCAAACATGAACTTTTTTTGAGGCTTGCACAAGATGAAAGAAATCTCCTCTGATTGACAAGCAGCTCTTCTAAAGAGGAACCTCTCCCTCTATTCTCCATGGGGATGCCTGGCACCAGCTATCCTGTGCTGCCCAGCACATGTGCTGATGCTGAGACCTGGATGAGGCAAATAACTAAGATTTTGTAACTGCAGTAGAGGCTTAAGTAATCCAAGCTTGCAGAACCTGCCACCAAACCCTTCTGTGTATTAGTTACCCCGTGCAAGTGACTGTAATTTCTGTAAACCTGTACTTGCATGTTTTTACTGGTAGAGCTGAGGTCATTACATACAATGGACATTTCCCGTTGCTCTAATGAAAGGTATGATGCCAACAAAAAAATGGTGAGGAACTAAAAGAACTTTGCTACAAATCATTATGACTGGGGGCTGATGCAACATGTTAGGGGTGGTCAGTAAATTAATGGCCATCGTACGAAATTACTGTATCAGGAAGATGGAGCTAATTCTGAGGTCTGCCACTGGCTTACAGTTAAACTTCTGGATGTCAGGTACCTCATCTAGAGAAGAGACTTTACATACAGACACTTCTGCAGATACTACATATCCTCCATGGTATCAGGTTGTGCTGCACTTACTCCCCAGCAACATGCACAAGTGTAGAATATCTGGTGCTTAGAAAGGAGCAATCTGAACAGACTTGAGAGAAGTAAATCGATGGCTTTTCAATTCAGAACAATGCATGTAACAGATACTGCCACTCCAAGTTGAACATTCATCCCATATTTTGTTTACCTATCCACAATACTCACAGATCTCTGAAAAAAGCTGCATGTTCATTACCTGCTACCGTATTCCCAGCATTTACTCACACCCTGAATTGATTAGAATACTTCTTTCTTTTGTAGCTTATTTCCCATATGGGTCTTGAAGCACTTCAGAGAGACTGCAGCTACAGCATCTCTGAAGCAAGCAGTGGTAGCCAACTTAAGCTGGAGCACTGAATCTCAGACAGCTAAGATGCTCACTCACCATCACATAGAAGGTCAAGAACAGGGCAAGGAACCAAGTTCAGGTCCCCGCCTGCACAACAACATTAGAAAGCCACCATTCATTTTAATGGCTGCTTCTAATCATGATAAATCTCTACTTGCTGAGTGAAGGGCATTACAGCCAGAGCAAGCCCTGAGCCTGGGTGGATTTCCACACATGTGAAAGGTATTATACAATCACAGAATAGTTTGGGTTGGAAGGGACCTTAAAGCTCATCCAGTTCCAACCCCCTGCCACAAGCAGGGACACCTTACACTAGACCAGGTTGCTCCAAGGCCCATCCAACCTGGCAATGAACACTGCCAGGGATGGGGCAGCCACAGCTTCTCTGGGCAACGTGTACCGGGGCCTCACCACCCTCACAGGGAAGTGCTTCTTCCTAATATCTCATCTAAATCTCCCCTCTGTCAGTTTAAAGCCATTTGCCCTTGTTCTATTCCTACATGCCTTTGTCAAAAGTCCCTCTCAGATGTAGGTAGGTCAGTGGTGGGAACCCAGGTCTGAGACTGAGTTACCAGTTCTGTAACTATCAGTTATTTGTTTTCTCCTTTTCACCCATATTTACCTCAGTTGTTTAAACACATGTGAGACTACCCCTCATTCTGCATTTGTGCAGTCCCCAATAGCACAGTGCCCATCGACCTCAGCTGGAGCTTTGCGTGTTACTATAATGAAAATTGTAACGCTGATACACAACTTTAAAAGGGATTTTTGTGAGATCTTACCTGGGGAAAGGCTAAGAGCAAATTTGGTCTGAAAATCACATTCATCACTTTCCAGGTAATCATCTGAAATGACAACCACCATCCTCCGGCACCTGCAATAAGCAGTTAGGGGAGAAAAAAACAATGTCAACAGGGATGCTTCCCCTTTTCACTGGTAGAAGTGTGTGCTCCTCTGAATTGGAAAAATGAAACCGCCGTGTTTCAGCAGGAATGAACTATGGAGCAAGGACTGCTGGCTATGTTACACAAAAACCTGATTGCAGACACATGCTCATACACCAAAACATGAAGAAATAGCAAAGTCCAGATTGTCCGTGCAACCTTTATTTGATCCTCTGTTTAGGTATTACACACAAAGCCATCTTAACTACCCGCTTTCATGCTGCCTTTACTGACTGAGCCTGACAGGGCATTTTTAATATTAGAATGAACCGGACAAAGCTGTATTGTACTCACACAACAGTGAATTCACCTGGGTTCATAAATTGGAGCTTTATTCTCCAATTTGTTGTTTACATTCCTTTGAGGTGCCTAATTGTAAATTACATATTAGGCTCTTTATGGAAGGCTATGCTGTACCACAGCCAGGAGAACAAGGCCTCACAAGGGTGTCTGTTAATGCCAAGCTGTATCCCTCTGAAAGGCTGATGTTTAAAATCCAAACACCTGCCTCGGGATTTGTCACTCCCTGCCTAGGGAGTTGGTTTTCTGTCCCGCAGCTCCCACCACACCTGAGTCCTACACAGGTCTGAAGGATCCTGAAGTGCCAGAGCCAACACCAGTGCTGTCCCTGCAACATCCACACTGTGAGAAGGAACTCAGCCTGGAGCTATATTCATTTCCAGATCAACTTCAAGGATGCGACTGCAGGATGTTCCAGCCAAAAAGGGATTAAACCTAAACAGCATCACTGTCGTGGCACCTCCCTTGTGAACACAATGAAGCAACATGTTTGGGAATGCTCGAGTCTTCCTGCTTGAGCCAAGAGCATAAAACAAACCCCATAAAGACATCCTTGTGGATTTTTACTGCTTCACTGGCGCCATACTGCAGACATCATGGTGAAATGAACGTCATGTTCCGTTACACTCAGCTATCCCAAGCAGCCATGGTTTACTTACCTCCTTTCTATAAGTTCTCCACTGATGGACCACACACACGTTCCTGGCAAGACATCCCGATCAAACACGCAGAGCTTCAGTTTGAACTCCGTTTGTTCCAGCTCCCTGATCATCTCCTGGACAAACTGAAGGTCCTTCTGACAGTAGCAGATGAAGGCATCAAACATCTCTGTTCTGTTCCCTGAAACCATTAAAAATCTAGCTGTCATCTACTATAAATGAAGTTAACTCCTGTAGTGAATTCCCACGAGCTCTCACAGACTCAGAATCAGGAGCTGTGACAGACAAGCTCTGTGCAACCTTACAAAGGGAATCTAACGTTTTACCAAACCAGGCTCCTGTCTGCAATGAAGCTGGCCAGAGGTAACACATGTCTGTGCCTTGACCGCTTTGATTTACAGTCCAGGCTGTTCACACAACCCCGTATCTGCTGGCAGTGGCTGGGGAAGGGTTGCTGAGATGCAAACATGCAAAATCTGCAGAGGCAACAACATCCAACCACAGGGAGCTGAAGGGAGACAAGAGTCTGGGAAGAGCTGGAGAGAGCAGAGTAACATAGAAGATGCAACTCTGAGTCCCAGAGCTCTGGGATTTTCCTGGGGGTGTACAAATCTAAAACATCCTTATGGCTCTGGGCCCTAGCTCTTTAGTTCAGGTCACAGAGAGTCCAGCTCCCCAACCAAAACCTTCCTGCAGGCCCTTGAGCAATGGCCTGACATATGCTGTCTACTGAGCTATGAGGTAGGCCTTGATATTTGGAACCTGCAGTTTTTATGGCTGTCAAACTCAGGTACCTGAAGTTATACCCTAAGTAAAAGGCCCTGTTTTACAAAGATGTTAATGGCTGACAGCTCCTGTTTATGTAGCAGTTATCCAAATATTAAAGTACTGTATATTAAGAGCAATATTTTTCATAGTTAAGCACCTTAATACTCCTGGATAGCTTCTCATTGTGTCATTTTCTTTCTGTATCAATGTCACTATGTATATTTTCAAGTTTTCATGCCAGTTAAAGCCTACGACAGTGAAAAAATAGGTCAAGCTCTAAAGGCTGCTGTGAAAAGTACCAACCCAGCAGGCAGAGCCAGCCCAAGAAGCAACCAGTCAAGCAGAAGGGCAACTGTCTGCCAGGTCAATCAAACTGAGGGTACTGCTTTAGGGGCATAGGATTAACTTGGCGGTCACATGAGGCAAAGCTGCCATGTACAAGCATCAGCACATTGGTCTGCGGACATCAGGGGACGGTTAATGTTGTCCCAATGTACAAATCATAGAATCATAGAATGGTTTGGGTTGGAAGTGACCTCAAAGCTCATTGAGTTCCAACCCCCTGCCACGAGCAGGGACACCTTCCACTAGACCAGGTTGCTCCAAGCCCTGTTCAACCTGGCCTTGAACACTGCCGGGGATGGGGCAGCCACAGCTTCTCTGGGCAACCTGTGCCTGTGCCTCACCACCTGCATAGTGAAGAATTTTTTCCTAGTATCTAATCTGAATCTACCCTCGTCAGCTTAAAGTCATTCCTCCCTTGTCCTGTTCCTATAAGCCTTGTAAAAAGTCTTTGTGAAAGGTGGCCACCGGAAGTCAGACTAGCCAGGGGAGCAGTGAAGAGGAGAGCTGACACATCTCCATTCACCTCGGCTGCTGCTCTGTCACAGAGCTTTACAGGCTGTGCACTTCCTCAGCCAGCAGCTGCGCACAGAGCCTGGCATGCAGCTGCACACAGCTGCACAGACAGAGCCACACGCAGGGCCCAGCAAACACACATTAATTACAGAGAACTGTGTTTCCTGCTTCCCACCCAGCCTGCTTCAAACTCTGATCCCTTTTTATCTGTGGTGGTTACATCTGCTGAAGACAGGGCAGTGTAGCCAAGGCAATCAGCTCTAACATCCTTCCCCCTCGACTCCAACCCACCAGGCTTTCAGCAGCTGCTGCTCTGTGACAGGCTGCGCTTAAGGGACAAGTTTCTGGGAAGTCTCCTCCCATGCGCATGCAGTGGGCTCTGTGCCAGCCTTCTTCTGGGTATGGTGTTCCCCAGGGTTGCTTTTCCTCTCCGCCCTTGGTGACAGGAAAAATGATGACTACCAGCTAAAGCAATCCAGGTTATGAAGAGTCGTGGGGAGTAATTAATGCAAACAGGTTTTCTGCATTTCTCACAGGGACCTGCTGCAGGTGATGACAATTCCTGCATGAGGCACCATGCAGCAGTGTACTCATGGGTGCTTACCATAGGGATCATCCCTGGTGGTGATGCCCATCAGCTCTGACGTCCTTGGCACACTGCTGTCTACTGCTGGCACTTGAAGCGGCTGGTCAGCCTCCTCCTGCTTCTTCTGTAAGTACTTCCTACAGTCCTCCTCTGCAAAAGCACACAACCAATGCAAGACACTTCTGTGATGGTGGTTTTACACTGCTGGAGTTCTTTAAAATGGGAATAGCTATTTCAGGGATCAGGGATATTAGAGGGAAACACCCTGCCTGGGTTTTTTGGTACCTAGAATTTCTCTCACCCCTTTTTGAACCTGTTGATGCTGCCTCCACCACCTCCTCTAGCAATTAATTCCTGAAGCTCACTCTTGCTATTTACAGAAGTACTTTCTCTTATTCATTTTAAACAAATCTCCTCCTACATCCTTAATTCTAGTATATTCCAGCACACTTGTAAAAGCATGCATCATGTACAAAACAGGTCTCAACTCTGCTGTCGTACTCATGACCCAGCTCAACGTGATCAGGGTCATGAAGTGTGCGCTTCCAGCCCAGAAACCAACCGTATCCTGGGCTACATCACCAACAGTGTGGCCAGCAGGTCAGGGGAGAGGATCCTGTCCCCTTTGCTCTGCTCTGGTGAGAACCCCACCTGCAGTCCTGTGTCCAGCTCTGGGGCCCACAACACAGAAGGATGTGGAGCTGTTGGAGTGAGTCCAGAGGAGGCCACAAAGATGATCAGGTGGCTGGAGCACCTCTGCTATGGAGGCAGGCTGAGAGAGCTGGGCTTGTTCAGCCTGGAGGTACTGGGAGGATGCTCTAATGGGAGACCTTAGAGCATCCTCCTACTGCCTAAAGGGGCTGATAGGAAACTGGTAAGGGACTTTTGGCAAGGGCAGGTAGAGAAAGGACAAGGGCGAATGGCTTTAAACTGAAACACATGACACATTAGCAAGAAGCTCTTCCCTGTGAGGGTGCTGAGGCCCTGGCACAGGTTGCCCAGAGAAGCTGTGGCTGCCCCATCCCTGGCAGTGTTCAAGGCCAGACTAGACGTGGCTTTGAGCAACCTGGTCTAGTGGCAGGTGTCCCTGCCCATGGCAGGGGCGTGGAACTCTATGATCTTTGAGGTCCCTTCCAGCCCAAACCGTTCTGTGATTCTATGACTGTTATGCATTTTGGAGTATTTAATTGGAGGTTGGGGATTCTCAATTAGAAGTCTTCATATTATCTGTTACTAAACAATAGACACATACTGGCTGATTCATACCACTGGCCTTTGTCAGCCAGAACTGCAGCTGACGACCATGAGTACATACAGTCACCACACACATGAGGACATGTAAAATTCTAGGGAGGCCTTAAACAGGCTTTACGTTGTGGAGCCACCACTGGAGATTCTCTGTCTCAGGCAGTGAGTGTGTGCCCCCACTCTGAGGTAACTGAAAGGCAAGCAGGCCTGTCATGTTTGCAACTTCCCAAACAGGACAGTGATGGACACAGATCTATTATAAACAGGTCATGTTTTAAAATTAATTATAAATCTAAACGTTAAGTCTTCAGAGAAGTGACAAGAAACCCTGCAGCCTCTGCAATATGCAGCCACAGAAGAACTTGAAAGTAAAAGGAGATTTGAAACCTGGAATTAACAAAATGAAACTCTCTAGAGCTTTCTCCTTTACGTACGATTAGACAAAACCCCAACAAGTATCAATCAGAAAAGCACTGATCACTCAGAGGGTCAGACTGGCACACCTCTGAGATCACCGGTACAACAGCAGCTGCAGAGTAAAGGATCTTCTCGAAGGGCAGGATGCAGGCAGGAACCAAGTAAGCACTGCTGTAGCACAGTCCCCACTGGTACTGAGCAGGCCTGATAGAAGTCCAGCTTCTGAAGCCTGTCTTCTGCTTTTGTCGCATAGTTTTGCATCTTGTAACTGGATCATCTCCTCTAATAAGGTGTCAGATCTGATCAAGGCTTTTCCTGAGGCTGAGGTATTCCCAGTGCCTGTTTCTTCTCCCTTCCTCCCCAGTCCTGCAGAAAAGAAGAACCAGCCACATTCTTCACCAGCCAGAAGGTTCAGATTTCAGATCTTGCCTCACTACGGGTCCCACCTCTCTGCCTGTTGCCCTGAGGTGTGCGTGTTTCATATCAGATAAGTCAGTGTCTTTAAAATTATGATTTAAGCCACTTTGAATTGGCCAGCGGGTTCAGAAGTTCCACATGAAGGACTCGCATGCAAGCTCCACCTTAAACATGCCTTGTTTCCCAGGTAGTCATGTTCACAATCCAAAATATTGTTGAATAGGCAAGAATAGACAATTATTTAAAGGCATACTAATACTACTGCTCAGTACAGAGACGTTCATTTTAAGTGTGTTTGCTCCATGTCTTCTCTTCTTGCTTCTCCCAGTCGCAGAACTGGCACCAATGCTTCTGTGACCTGTGTTTTAATAAACTGGAGACCAGAAACTCATCAGCACACCACTCATGGCTGACACACATTCTCTTTAACCCAAGTGTTCTGATAGCATTGTGCTGTAATCTCAAACCAGAATCATACAGCAGTTTCAGCTGGAAGGGACCTTAAAGCTCATCTATCCCAACCCCCTGTCATGGGCAGGGACACCTTCCACTAGACCAGGTTGCTCAAAGCCCCATCCAACCTGGCTTTGAACACTGCCAGGGATGGGGCAGCCACAGCTTCTCTGGGCAACCTGTGCCAGGTCCTCATCACCCTTACAGAGAAGAACTTCTTCCTAATGTCTAATCTAAATCTTCCCTCTGTCAGTTTAAAAACATTCCCCCTTGTCCTATCCCTGCATTTCCTTGTAAAAAGTCTCTCTCCAGATTTCTCATAGGCCCCCTTTAGGCACTGAAGCTGCTCTATGGTCTCAATAGAGCCTTCTCCCAGGTTGAACAGCCCTAGCTCCCTCAGCCTGTATCAGGGCTGTATAACCCCTCTTATCCCTACAATAAAACTGCAAGCTCGGCAAAGCTCTCAAAACAAACCACTGAGGCTTGTGGGTTTATTACAAGTGCAAACCAGGGGCCCTATCACACTGAAACTGCCAAAATGTCCAGTGAACCTGAAGGGATGAATGACATTCACTAATTTGGCATTAGCCCCCAGCTGGGAACAGTGCCCAGCTGTACAGGTAAGTGAGAGCCAACAGGGGTTAGAGATGACTTTGCAGGCCTAGAAAGGCTTTATCCATAAAAGGATGCAAACCAACACAACAAAGTAGCAAGAAACTCATCCAACCTAAGATGTCCCGTGTCACCCAGCATCTAACACAGTGCAGGCTTTACATTCCTCTAACAACCAAGCAAAAGTCTGAGGTATTGGACAGAAAGAATAAAAGCATGAAACCTAAAGTGCAAAATGATCGGAGAGAACAGACCCACTAACTGTCAAGCAGGGAAGTAGCGCTTCTATAATGGGCCAGGAAGAAACAAACATCACTGAGTTTCAGCAGGAAGAAGAGCACAAACCTACTGAAGCAGAGAGCTTCACATCCCTAAAATGACTGTACAATGAAATAAATGCTGAGAGAGATCACAGTCCTGCAAGTGTCTGTACTCCAGACAGTGCACCGGGGGAGTTCCTTCACACAGCCCCAGTGTGCAGAGCTGCCAAACGTGGAACTATCAAGGCCACAGGAGACACTGATTTTTAGCATCCCAAGCAGAGCCAGGATGGAGCACGCAATGACAGGCCATGGACCTGGTCCTGCAGCAGAAACCACAAACCAAACACACCCTTTGGAGCCACAGAGTACCAAGGAGTTGTGTTTTAACAGGGATGCTGTGTCCCCAAGGAGCTCAGTTCATCTGACTGCACGTGGGCATGATGTGTCATTCCAGAGACATCAGAGCATGTGGGATATCCACTGTAGGCAGCAGGTACAACATTGGCCCTACGAACGACCTGTGTCCGGCAGTCATCCTGACACCTCTCAATTGACTCAAGAAGCCTTCATGCCCCAGATCTGCTCCTCCTACGATGAAAGCACAGACCACAGAAACTCGATGCTGGTGTTTTCTGAGCTGAATCACACTGAGGAGTCCTAACAGCGCACAGAGAGGTGCCCTTGGCAGCCGTGCATGAGAACGTGTGCAACTGTCTTTTCCTCTTATGAGCATAAATATCTCTACTTTCTGCAAGAGCTGGGAGCTCCAGCAACAGGTCACAGGCCCCATCTGCAGTCCTCAGCCAAAAATACTAACAGAAGAATGGCCATGCTGGGTGAGGCTGGGGGTCCACCTACCCCAGCGTCCAGTCTCCAGCAGTAACCAAAACTAGATGCCATGGGGAGAATGTAAGGATAAAATAAGCATACACTGCTTATTTTCCTAAAATTATCCTCTTTTAGGCATAATCTACATCTATTTTTATAATCTACCTATCGGACCATTTGTAGATGAGGAATTTCCTGAGTCTGGAGCACTGTTTTTGTGTTGAATCGCCCTCAGTGGGTCTTTTTTCCACGAATTTATCAGTCTCCTCTTATCAGCATGACCTCCCACCAGGCCAAACTTGTGACTTCCCTGAAGCTCAGGTTCCTACCCCTCACTCTAATGCTGTCTGTTCAGGCTCTGACAAAGACCATCCACCACATTATGAACCTCTGATGAGAGGATCATGAAGCACACTGATTTGGTTCTGTCTTTCCAAAAACTGAGTCTCCAGCATATGGTCCTTAGTAGGGAGAACAGAAGGAATACAGGGAACTCCTCCATTGCTTTGGGTCAGGCTCTCTACAGTGATGAGTTTCTACATTTTCACTTATCTCCGTGAGTAACAGGAAATGAAAGTTATTATTTCTTCATCGCTAGCCCAGGAAGCTGTATTATACAACAGAGGCCTGCAATAGAGTCTCCTGCTTTGGAAATCCTTTGGCAATGAAATTCCCCTCTGATGACAGCCGACTTCCCTCTGAATTTCCGTGATCATGCGGAATACAAAGAGTCTATACAGAACAGGTTATCACAACAGCAGTAGGAGCTTCACACTGCTTACTGACCTATCATTTTTTCAGTTTTTGAGGAACTCTTTTTTCTTTCCTTTATCCAGTTAATTATTTTTCCTTCCATTACCCAGTTCCACACATTCCTCACCTCTCCCTCTATCTTCCTATCACACTGGACCCACACATGGCAATTCTCACACTGTGCAGTGTAAGTGCAAGATGCCTCCTAGCTGACCTGGCCCAAAGCATCCTTTGACACACAGAACTTTATTATTGAAGGTTTAGTATAATACAGGGCTCCAGATTACTTTGCAGGGCTTATGGCTAGTGGAAATAGAGCACACTTCTCCCTTCTCTCCTGGAAGCTGCGCAGGGTTCTGATGGAAACACCGAGGAGGTAACTCCACGGCCTGGTAAGGGCTTTTCTGCTTGAGCAGGGTATTTCTTCACATCCCCTCTCCGGACAGAGCAGCAAAGCCCGAAGCAAGCAGCATCCGCTCCCTCCCGGCACCGAGATCAACTGGGCCCTGCTGTGCTAGAGGGTGCCGAGAACCTCACCCAAGAGAGCCCTAAGCCCCAACCCACATCAGCCCCACAGAGGAGGGGGTTCGGCAGGCTCGGCGCGGCTCCCGCTCCAGTGCGGCCCGCGGACACCCCATCCCCGTTCCCGCCGCGCCGAGGGAAGAGGAAGGAAGGGGAGATGCCGCCTTGCCTCACCCACGCTGCCGGACAGGTCGAGGAGGACGTCGTCGCGGCCGAGGTGGCGCAGGAGGTCGAGGAGACGGCCGACGGTGGCGCCGCCGGGGCATCGGCACTGCCAGTCCTCCAGCAGCGCGGCGGTGGGGTCGGGCTGCGCCTCCAGCCACCGGATCTCCAGGTACTCGCAGCCCAGCGCCTCCGCCAGCGTCGTCCAGTCGGCGGCCGCCGCCGCCCGCGGGTTGAGGTAGCGGCTGAGGCGGCGCCGCAGGCTGTAGTTGAGCGCCACCATGGGCATGGCGTGGAGGTCTGGCGGCGACGCGGCGAGGCTGGAGCCGGAGCCGGGGCCGGAGCCGGAGTCGGGGCCGGGGCCGGGGCCGGAGCCGGAGCCGGATCCGGAGTCGGGGCACACCGGCGCCGTGGCCATGGCCGCGCGGCTCTCGCAACTTCCCCCGCCCGGCTCCGCGGCCCTTTCGCTTCCCTCCTCGCCCCGCCTCCCGCCGGGTTCTGCCCGCCCTACCCGCCGCTTCGGCTCGCTCCTTCCTTAACGGAGACGTGGGGCAGCCCGGGGGGTGGTGGGGGAGAAGAGGCCCTTCTGCGCCGCGGGGAACAGTGAGGTCCCTAAGGCTGTTTTCGTCCATTCCCATACAGGCCAAACATGACGGGGCTTTGAGCAACCTGGTCTAGTGGAAGGTGTCCGTGCCCGTGTTTCATGGGTTGGAACTGGACGAGCTTTAAGGTCTCTTCCAACCCAAACCATTCTGTGATTCCTTGATGAAAATGGACAGGGAACCATTTTAAACTGATTTGGATGCTGAGTACAAAACACGGTTCTCAGCTATGAGCTGAACAGTTTCAAGCTTCCAGGCTGGTACCAAAAGCAACCTGATGCTGCAAGGACTTCAGAGGAATTTTCAAGAGGAACTTACTGTTTCTCCAAAGTACTGTAGGAGACACAGTAGGAGAATGTCCTCTGAAGTCTCACTCTGTCTATGGATCTCTGTGGAAATGAGGAAGACAAAATATTCCAGTAGCAAAACTTTTAATCTCATGATTGGTAGTTTTTAAGCTTTAGACCATGAAAAATCAGCGTAAGAAAGTTCACTAGAAAGAGTTCTGACTGAACACCTGCCACATAAACTATCATCTGCTTCAGTTTGTAAAGGGAAGTGGAAATTTAGCTGTAACAGCCGTAAGCACCAGTGGCAAGAGGCCCTGGAAAAGCAGCCACGCTTCCTCCAAATAGAAAAGCCACACAATTTTGTTGATTAGTATCAATTAGAGAGTCCCTTTCAACCAATGGACTTCACAAAGGTGAGAGGAACACACTGCCCATGGCAGTCACAGCCTCAGCACTGAAGGGCAGCCACTCCTGGGGAGCAATGGGTGAACTGCCCAGGAGCTCACAGCCTCAGTACTACAGCGAAAACACAAGATCTGATCACCACAGCCAGTGCTAATACCCAACCTCCACACATCCACATCCAGCTCATGGCCCTGGGAACAATGAACAGGCACATCCCGACGTACTCTGCTGCGGCCAGACTTGTGTCATTGTCTTGGATCAAGATTAACCGCTCCCCTGGCATCTTCAGCAGTGAACGCTCCCCCCAAGCACCTTCCCAGCAGGCTTGTGGATGGGCAGCCTTCATCATGCTTCTTTCTTGCGAGAAAAGTAAAAATCTATCCCTCTGACCTTGTGCTGCACTGGTGAGTGTGCAGGTCCTCTCCTGCCCCTGGGGTGGGGACTTCTTCCCTGCAGCAGATTGAAGATGAACAGTGAGATATTAACCCATGCTGCAGAGTGAGTCTGATCACAAAGCAGCCCTGACATGCAGGAAAATGTAGAAGTGGCATTTCTACTCTCAAGTTCACTAAGAAGGTGGGGAGGCCTGGCAGCTCTAGGCTTGGACTGGGGAAACTAGGGCTTGTGGTAAGGTATGAGCTTGTATTTTCAAAGGTATTTTGATATTCCATTTGGGGGGTGAGGAGTCGTCTTCTCCAGGCCTCAGTGACACTGGGCCGACAGTCCCCCCCAGTCGTATGTTAATTCCATAAGCACAGTGTGGCAGCACAGGCCCCCAGAGCCCAAAGTGAGCTGGAACATTGATCAGAACAGAACTCCTGCCTGGCGGAGGAGCTTTTTGGGTTCAGGTTTTATCACTGCCTCAAAGCAGTGTCTCATGAAGGGGCTCCTTCACAAAATCCTTTCTCTGATCTCAGATGCACTTTTAAACAGAAGGGTGATAATCCAGGCCCCTCAACAACATGGCTAAAAGTGGAAGGCTTTGCTTCCACAAAACTTTCCAGTCATGGCAAAGAAATGTGGCCTGAGAACTTGGTACTGCACCTTAGGATTAAAACCTGAAACAGAGACATCCTTCATTCTTCACTGAACATAGTATGATGACTAAATCTGAGTCTTCACAAAGTATCCTTACTGGGGAGGAGGCAGGGAGGATGCATGGGGGAAGACAAAATTATGAGAGCCCCTTGACATACACAACCATTGGTGACATCTGTTTCCTTCTTCCCCTCCAGCTCCACCACCACTGACCCCACCAGACTGACAGAGCACTTTCCTTCCATACCCATCTTCTCCAAGAACAGCAACCCAGGCAGCAGATACAAGTCCTGACATACTGCAGGATCCACATCTTAATCTTTCCCCATTCTAAAGGTGAGGTACACCCAAAAAGCAAAGTGCAAGAGCCAGTCCCCATATCTTACTGACTTCAGTTTGGATGCTCTCAAGCATGGTAGGAAGTTGGTTGGTTTTACTTTGACCTCAAGAACAGAGTAAAAGCTGAACATTAGCCTCTGCAATCTTCTGTCTGTCTGCATCAGGGGGTGGTTAGGCCAGTGAAGGCCTTCAGAGATGCCCCATTCCTCCCTGCTTGCCATTGGGAAGGTCCAGAGGGCATGGAAGGATGCTGTGAAGGACATGCTCTCTATGGCTAAGGCCTGCTGACTACAGAGCTGATGGGATAAAGAAGCAGCTAAAATTTACATCATTCACCGGTAGGTATGTCTGCGCTATGTATGTCCATGAAGAAAAACCTGACTAAGGAAAGCTACTTAGAAAATAATAAACAAAACAGGCATGGTTCATGCTTCAGCCTCAAAACCAACCAACCTGGCACAGTATACGTCCATATGATGTAGGGTGGACTGTATTTTGTGACAGTCCTAAGCATGTGGTATGCTCAAATTATGCTTGGATAAAGTTCTGGAAGGTGCTTGTTGGCCCTGGCAAAAATAGTGCTGGGGAGCACATTAACTGTCTGGAGTACAGGGGATTCGTACTTGGGCTTGTGCCTCAGCCATGTTTATTTTGGTAGGACAGACATTGCTAAATAGTCCCTGTGCAAAGCTGGACCTCCCTGTGCTGTGAAGTAACGTGACTTTGCATTAAAGTAATTGTACCTCAGAAAGAAGAGCCAAATTTGCAGACACTCACTCCTACAGGCACAGAGCAGGTGCCTGGAGCCCTCTCATCCCATCCCAACCTTCCCAGTACTCACGGGCCTCTGGCTGATGTGTCGGCTCCACTCTGCGGCTGTCACAATTGGCTGTGGATATGTCTCACCTAGAGTTACTCCCACCTGGGAGAGAGCAGCACTGCTCAGTGCCCAAGGGGTGTGGATATCTGCTCCCTTTATGCCCTGTAGTTCTGGGACCCACAGCCGGACATAATCCCCCTGAAAACAGAACCAGTGGGACAGTATTCATTCAGTAACAATCCGTAAGTGCTTCCCAGCAAGGGTCCTTCTTAACATCAAAGAAAAGTCTCATTTCCAGGTGAAGAAGCTGGTGTACTACCACATCAGCTACCTCGATCAAGCCTTAGCCCCTCCTGCTAAACTCTCCACCCAAAATTAGTGCCTCAGCACAGAGACCTGGATGCTGGAGCTCTTCTCATGGATGTAGGCAGAGGAGGGAAATGGGTGCTCTTTGGATACAGTTCACCTGCCCTATTTAAGACATAGTGATATGAAGTCACTTCCAAGAAGTCCTTTTTTTTTTTTCCAGTGACTGAAGGAAACTAGGCAGGACTTAGCCAAAAGGCAACAGAGCAGCTTGCCTGAAACTAAAGAATAGAGAGGAAACAGGCAATCCAGCGTGTAAAGTCTGGCTAAGCATGTGGAAAGTGTGATTTATCTGCTCCCACCACTTACAGAGGACAGTCGAAGGAGTCACAAGTTTAATCTACTCTCCAGAACCTCCCAAGGAGCAGCTCCATCTCTCCTGTCACTTGTGAGTTCTCCAAGAAGCTGCTCTGTGCTCGAGGAAATGGCTGTGTGAGATACTGATGGGATGTGGCTGTTGCCCGGAAGAAATGGTGATGAAACACTAAGCACAGACCAACAGCAGGGCAGGGAGGGCGTGCAGAGCACCAGCCTCTTTGGGAACAGCAGCAGATTGTAACCGTCAGATCTTCCTGTGAAACGAGGAACCTGCCTGACTGTTGGCAAGGAGGAGATCACAGAATGGCTTTTGCCATTTCGACACAGTAGATTCCACACAGCAGTACCCACGTAGCAGACTGACCTCCTCTGTTCCCTGAAACTATCACAGATGCTTTGCTGCACTATTCATTGTAAGACAGCCAAAGAAGACTTACATTGCCATCGTAATCCAGGCCTTGCTTAACCGTGTTAAACTTCCTGTTGTCCCGTGGGTCATTGCCAACACCAGCACTGTATAACCAGTTGCCATAATTGCTACAAACATCATAATCCACCTTGAGAACAGAAGAAAACAGTAAGATGAGGTGGAGGCCCTTGTGAGTCTTCTCTCTTCATCCACCTTTTATCTCAAAGGGGAAATTCCTTGCATGGGAATCAGTCTGGTTACACTGGGGTAGTCAGAGCTCTTCCATATAGGTATGGCCGCCTGGCTCAGAAGAGGACCATGCTGCATGGCTGCTGGACAGGGCTTGGAGCAGTCTGGTCTAGTGGAAGGTGTCCCTGCCTGTGGCAGGGTGCTGGAACTGGGTGAGCTTTAAGGTCCCTTCCAACACAAACCATTCTGTAATTCTGTTTTTTACAGCTGGGATCAGCTTCCCAGGCTACTTCACTTCTTAGTCCTTAGGTCAATGAGACAGGTAAAAGTCCAACCAAAGTATTTTTTCAGTTTTTAAAAAGAAAATAAATCCTTCTCTTTCTGCTATCATGTGGCAGACTTCATGACAAGTAGGCCTAGCTTTTGAGTGCTTATATTCCAAGAAACATTGCCCACTACATTCCAAATACAACAGAAAATTCTGATCAGTTACCTGGAGACCACAGATGAACAAAATCATGTGCAGTTTCTATTAGGCAGGTTGGAGACAAGTCTAATTTGGACTGTATGGACTGACCAAACTGAGTGTATGAAGATGCAATCACTACAAACACTGAAGTTTTTTCTCTGCTATACTCAACCTTCATCAGGTAAAGGGTTTAAACTTAAACAGGGGAAGTTCAGGTTAGATATAAGGAAGAAGTTCTTTACTGTGAGGATGGTGAGGCACTGGAACAGGCTGCCCCGAGAAGCAGTAAATGCTACATCCCTGGCAGTGTTCAAGGCCAGGTTGGACAGAGCCTTGGGCAACATGGTCTAGGATGAGGTGTCCCTGCCCATGGCAGAGAACTAGATGATCTTAAGGTCCTTTCCAACCCAACCCATTCTATAAGCCTCAGCTTTTGGCAGAGAGACATGCTTTGCTACAGGAATCACTTGAGCTCTCATGACGTGCTCAGTAGGCTGCGCTCAAGGGTTCTTATGTAAATTACAGCAAGACTCCTGTAACAGTCATAAACAAGAGCAGAACAAGGTCCAGTCTGAGTTCTCCTCAGCTGTACAGCATGGCTCAAGTCCAGCATCAGAAGCTTTCCAGCTGTAGGATAATTCAAACCTAGCTCAGGAGGGGAGTGGTGGCGATAGCAAATAGGGTGTGAGATCTTTGGGCCTTCCCAAGAGGGGTGTCAGCATTGCGAAAGCTGGCAGGCGTGGCAGGAGGAGTCTGCAAAGACATGTCACTCAGCAGGTTCAGTGCTGTGCTCTCCCTTTACTGCAGCAACAGACACGCCACACAGCGATATTTCCAAAATCTCAGCCACTCCTCAAAGCGAGCAGCTCAAGGCACCCGGATGGCAGAAGGCACAGGGGAGTGGGCTCTGCCAGGTCCCTTCCCCTTTCCTTGCAAAGCCAGCAAGAGCTGGGGTCAGGGTGATCCACAGCCAGCTATGCTCACTGTGCTTCCCCTTCCCACAGCACTTCCTCTGGCTGGGCAGATAAGGAGAGAAAGAAAGATGCTATCAGAGGCCTGATTGCACAATTAGCATGCAGGAAAGCATCTGTGGGAGGTGAGGGCAAATCCAAGAGGACTGGAAGAGGCAGGCTCATTTCCCCCTCAGTCTTGCCCCTTCCTGGCAATCTCTTCTGTTTGTTTCTCTCCCTTTCCTTTGGGCCTGACCCTGTGCATGAAACCATAGCTGAGATTTATTCTGTTCAGGACACCAGAGGTCTCTGGCCTTTCCCCTGGCTTCAGAGAGCCTTAGTCTCCCTGCCCATCTGGTGTGGATGACAAACACCCTTTTCTTCACAGGCATGCACAGACACTCAGTGGGCCTTTGCTGGAAGTATCAGAGATTAAATATGCATTGCTTTTCCTCTTTAGAGGAAAGCAAGACCAGTTTCAGTTCTATATTGGCCTCTACCATTCTGTAGCCTTATCTCCCCCATCAGACTGATGTCTCCTCTATGTTACTCTGGGGGTGTCACCAGCTTAAAGTAACAGAGCTGTCTAGCAATGTGTCAGTGTGATACAAGCTGAAAGGAAGAGACAGAAGGACACAAGGATCAGCGTGTGCCACACCAGCCTGCAGTGGCAGTCAGCATCTGGGGCTTCCTGAGGTAAGAGTGCTAAATCCTGCCTCCAGCAAGGCTGGTAACATTCATGCCCATATGAATAAAGGTATGTAACCCAAGTTGCATCTTCTTAGTGCAAAACCTCCCAGGTCTTCCTCTCTTGGGAAATAGGACCTGGAATTTATCTTGCCCCTCTCATCTGACTGCAAAGTGAGCCAAGCTCCTAGCTGAGGAAGGCAAGGCTGCCCCCCTGTCAGAGCAAAGACTCAGTTCCTGACTCCCAGCTCTTAATCAGACTTTGAGTATGAGGCTTGCCTGTACATGAAGCTCTCTCTGTGAAATGAAGTTACCTTCCTAACTGCTTTGAAACCTAGAATACCAGGTTGGAAGGGACCTCAAGGATCATTTTTTGAGGCAAAGCATGACATAAACTAGATGTCCCAGGATCATGTACATTTGAATCTTTAAAGTGTCCAGTGTTGGGGAACCCACTACTTCCTTGGGGAGATTACTCCAGTGGCTGATTGTTCTCAGTGTGAAAACTTTTCCTCTTGTGTCCAGTCGGAATTCCCCAGGAGTAACTTGTGCCCATGACCCCTCATCTTTTCCATGTGACTCCTTGTAAAAAGGGAGTCTCCATCTTCTTGTAAATATGTAAATACTGAAAACATCCTTTAAATACTGAATACATCCTTTAAATACTGAAACATGGTGAGAAGGTTTCAGGTTTTACTTTTTTTTTTCATGCAGATTCACCTCCTCAGCCTCAGTTTTCACCACTCAGCATGGTGCTACTGACATCAGTATCACCAGAGGGAACATCAGCGGGGGACTGAAGGATGGAGAAGCAGCTCAGCTATTTAACTGAGTTTACATGGCTGCTGACTGGCACATGAGGAATGAATTGGTGCCCCAGTTGGCAGGGAGACCCATGACTCCCAGCATGAAAAAGGATGCCTCCAGACAGGGTGGAGCTCTCTGGAAGCTGACCCAGCTATTGTCCGTACTTGACTGTTCCTAACTAGATGGCTTCCCTGTCCAGAGTAATCAATGCAAAGACACTGTGCCAACACTGGCATCAGTGGGCACAACACATTTCTTTCTATGTTCTATTTCTGGGCTGTCCTCCTCCCCAGCCTCTGGGGTGAGCAGATCAGAGCACTGTTAACATAACTGATGTTTGAAAGCATTCTCAAGTGTGACAGAGCCCTGGCTAAAACCCTACATGGAGGATAAAAACCATCATTGCAAATTTCCCAGCTGCATCATACTTGATGGAAGCTTCACTGTGGCAAAATTCCCTCTTCTTACATGAGCTTTGGCAAGTACGTACCATGGAAGCAGTATATACATGCACTTCTATCAGCCTGAAAACTACTGATCATCTGCTGTATCCTCTCTTATCAGGCAGAGCTGAGCTCCTGCCTGTCACTCAGGGCAGGGAGGACAAACCACTCCAGATACAAAAACGGTTCAGTCTTACCAGCAGGTATTCAAACCATTCTGCTCCCATCCTCCAGTCCAGACCCAGGTCCTTTGTGAGAAAGCTGGCGACATTCTGCCGTCCTCTGTTAGACATGAAGCCTGTTGCAGCCAGCTCTCGCATGTTGGCATCCACAAAAGGAACCCCTGTTTTGCCCTCTGCAGAGACAAAAGACAGCGCTGGGATATAATGACATTTTGGGACACAATGACATTTTGGGACACTCATAAACCAACCTGTGGTCATGCACTCACAGCCATCAGAGAGGTAAGACAGTGCCAGTGTAAAGTGGCAGGTAGAGATTTCAGTGAGGTTTACAGGGCATGCAATGTGCACTGGAAATGAAACAGGAAATTATACTGAAAATTAAAATGAGAATTTTATCAAGAAAAAAACAAGGTACAGAAAAACCTCAGACTGGAATTTTGCCGAGCAAAATAAATATACAGACAAGAGTGAGATGGGTGAAGAACAGAAAGACTCTTGACAGATAACTAATAGCAGAGAGGGATGTACTGGACAGGTCCCAAGGGTTGGTACCTGAAAAGTAGACAGCCATACCTATTTTTAAGGAGAAGATTTATTGTACCTCTGTACAAATGGATACACACAGCATTAATGTGAAGAAAGATACATAGGTGTCTATTCCACTAATTCTGATAATTCAGTCTGTGAGTCCCTCCAAGTTTTAAGATATTCTACTTGCTATTCATATGACAACAAAGTTATAAAAGCTAAAGAAAAGGCAGTGGCATAACAAAAGATGTGATTTATTCTAACACTGTTCTAAGCTTCCAGCCAAAACTAATCAGAACAAAATGTAGCAGGCATGGCAATCTAGCATTGGTAAGAAGGGCTGGTCAGCCTCTGTGTGACTGAACAGAAGGGACCACCAGCTCATAAACTCTTCCTCCTGGGCAGGCAAGTTTAACTGCAGTGCACCTCAGAAAGTGTGTGCCAGCTGGACAGAGCCTGGCAATTCATGATATATACCCTGGGGGCCTGCTCCTGTACTGTGCTCAGTCTCAGAAGTGAAGCCAAGTGCCTGGCATTCACACTGAAGTGAGGGGCTGGATTCTTGTTTGGTGGTAATAGTTTAAATGACAGGCCCTGGTTATATTGACAGGTCCCCTGCATAAATCTGAGTCAGTGTTGGAGCCCATGTTAGCATGCAGACAGATGGAAGCCAAAAGCACACTTAGCCAAAACCGTGGTTTCTACTGACCTTTCCAACAGTCAAAAAGCTGCAGGTCCTTTTTCCAGGGAACCTCTTTACTTTGAAGCCCTACTGGGGAAAAAAATAGCTGCTAATGGAGGCAAATGCTGACGCAGGCAGTTAATAAAACAATGACAGCCAAAGGCACTTTAGCTGACACAAGACATTAGAATGAAGCTACTCCATGTCCGCTGGCCCAAGCTACTTGGTAAGTTTTAGTCCAGGACAATGTTTACATGAAAAGTTTCTGTAGCAGGTATTAAACCCAGAATCACCTGGCAGAAGCCCCTGGTAACAGTTTGCTCCTGCAGTAGGGTAGGAATAGATGAAGGGGGTGACTTTGTGTTTGCAGGGGACCAACGGTAATTACAGTCCTTTGTACAGTGGAAAGGGGGGCAGCAGAGACAATTTGGCTCTAGCTCCAGACATCTAAACTTGGGCCCACCACTGGCATCCAGTGTCATTTGGAATGCGGTAGGGCATTTGAAACAGCTACAGAGGCCTGACAGATGTGACACACACTCTAAGGGAGATGGGCTCCTCCACAGCCACAGCTGGATGCCAGGCGGACTGCCCTGGGGCACCTAAAACAGTGCTGCATGCTTAGTGTGGGTAGGTATATCACACAGAGAACAGCTCACCCAGGACAGGCATCAGCTGTAGGGTTTCCTGACCATATGGACTAGATATTTGTTGTTGCACCAAGAGTTCAGACCCCCATTTCATGTGTAGACACCTGTTCTAAGTCACTGGGTCTGGAGCTGAATCTCCTTCTGATTCCTATGTAGCACAAGGCAGAATGAATATCTGGTTGCCAGGGATTAACACTGCTGGGTTGGTTTTTGCTCTGTCCCAGATTCACTGGTGAACTTGGGCAAGCCTGAATTCTTTCCAAAGGTGGGATATCTCCAGAAAAAGCATCTTTACTCTTACTGTGCTGTTGCTTCCCACTGACAGGTGTTAACAATACTCCCCATTCTAACCAGATTTGAGAAAAAAGCCACAGTGTCCAACACTGCGGTGTTGAGGCACTTCTGTGCTAACAGTAAGTCCCCAGCAACATCACAGGGTGGTGACACAAGTGCTATGAGAAGAACATTTGTACAACACAATGACGACCGCCTCTTCTCTTTCTTCACTTTCCCTGTCATAAGACTACCTTTTCTCACCAAACATGGGATCCATACACACCTCTTAATGAGAAAATCCTTCTGCCATACTTCAAGGCCACAAATCGAAAGTAATCCCGCCACAGCAGTTCAAAGAGGACCCTAAAACACAAAGGCATGTCAGTATCTCAGTGTGGGTCAGATAAAATCACTGAATTAGGATTTTGCTTCCACAGCAGCCATCATTAACACCTTGAGGGAGGTTTATTCATAATGAGCGATTTCCCGTAGCTTCCCATGATCCCAGTTCTTGCCCCAGTCCTGTTTATCTAGCTTACACCTGGATGATGACAGTGAAAGCAAACTTTGCATGAATCACTTGGGAAGCTTTCCTTAACTTGGCACAGGAGCAGGATTTCAGGAAACCTGTTTCTCATCCGTCCCTACCGAGATGTAATTCTCCAAAGAGAAGGGTGAGGACCAGATTCAGCTTCACACTTCCGCATGAGCAAGCATGTCAGCACATTCCAAAGAGACTTGTGTTGATTTAAGCAATAACCTTTGTAAGGGACTTAAAAGGCACCTTTCAAAACTGGCTTTACAGTGGCTAGCTCATGAGATCAGCTGCTAGGCCCACAGAAAATAGCTTTATATAAAAAGAGCTGCTTATAAAATGATGGTACCTCAGTGTCTGAGACCTGCTTCAGCTCTCTGGCATATTGGAAATCAGCTCAGCTGATGCTTAGGCTTAAAAGATCTTTCTGGGAAATCTGATTACAAAACAGGACACTGTCCAAATGCTAAAACTAGTGTCATGATACTAAGGGTCAACCAGTCCCTCGTGTGCAGCCACAACAATCTGTACTTCACTGTAGAATCGACTGCAGTGCCTGGGAGCTTGACAGGTTCTTTTTTAATGATTATTTGTCACTTTAAAATGCTCAGATCACCCTGACACCGCTGCTGCAGGCTGGCTGCCTGTCAGACAGAAACACAGGAGTATGTTCATTGCTTGAAATCTTTCCTCTCTTGTCTTTGAAGAAAGAAAGAAAAAAAAAATAGCATATACTTCAACAGGCAAAAGGTTGATATTTTGTCTGTCATTTGAATTTTAATGAAATACAGTATTTTGGCCAGAATTGTTGGCAATGTTCTGGCTGTTCTTCATCAACCACTGTGCTGCTTGACATGTTGCAAATGTAGCAAACCAATATGAAAACAAAGTTTGCATAGACTTTCTGGTTTGGCTTTTTTCCCATCCAGATGTAGTGTTAGGCCAGGCTCTAACATGAACCTGATTCTCCATGAAAGCTCCCTAGCAGACTTCAATTCACAGTGTCTGGGCAGATCAGAGTGCATGAGCAAGTTCAAGGCCAGCCCTGTGGCGGATGCATCAACCTCAGCTGTTCCCCTGACTCCTTCAGGACAACCGGCAGGCAGGCAGGCAGTGGTGAGGTGAGGAAGAGCACAGGTGACAAGGCAGGATGTATTAAGCCCACTTCCCAGTCCCCTCTTCCCCTTTGCTATGGGTTGCGGTCACGGTCAGACAGCCCAGCAAGCACAGGGACATTTGCTGGACTGTGGCTGGAGGTCCTTCCGACACCACAAGATTTGTACAAGTCACAGAGCTTTTTGGGTCAAACCCTCCTCATATCCCTGGCATGAGAAACCCTTTGCCTTTTATTTGTAAACAATTTGTAAATCATCCTTCTTCTTTCTCATCTAGCCCCTAACTGCAATACAGAGAGGGATGGTGCTGATTTACATTTCTAAAAATTATGAACCACAATTTCCAAGCAATATTAATGACAACTAGCATTAATAATCTTTACTTATAAAGTGCCTAAAGCCTCTGGATGTCAAAGACAAATGAATAAATCATAGAATCATACAATGGTTTGGATGGTTTGGGTTGGAAAGTACTTTAAGATCACTCTGTTCCACCCCCCCTGCCATGGGCTTCACACTAGACCAGGTTGCCCAAGGCTCTGTCCATCCTGGCCTTGAACACTGCCAGGGATGGAGCATTTACCACTTCTTTGGACAGCCTGTTCCAGTGCCTCACCACCCTCAGAGTAAAGAACTTCTTCCTAATATGTAAGCTGAACTTACCCTGTTTAAGTTTAAACCCATTCCCCCTTGTCCTGTCACTACAGTCCCTGATGAAGAATCCCTCTTCGGTATCCTTGTAGACCCCTTCAGATACTGGAAGGCTGCTATGAGGTTTTCACGCAGCTTTCTTCTTCTCCAGCCTGAACAGCCCTAACTTTCTCAGTCTATCTTTGTAGGTGCTCCAGCCCCTTGATGATATTCGTGGCCCTCCATACTGAAACAGGCCTGCAACAAACCCAGAGGAACCAGACAGCAGGCACAGGAAAAACAAACATTATCTAAGAAGAAAGTCAACAAATCACTCCACGCCAGTTTCCTTTTCAGAGAAAACAAGCCACACTGATCATGCATGGACATACCAGTATGTGCTCTGATTTGCTGTCCTCTCTTTTTCATACTTCTTGATCTGCTCATAGATGTATCGAGGTGAAATGCAGCCCAGTGCCAGCCTGAAAGCATAAGAATGATGCTTTCAGTCCTGAATGTGATGCAGGACTGACAGCTTGTTATCTGCATAGGGGGAGTGGAGGGGCATTTTTGTGTCTGTGTTGTCCAAAAAGTTTTGCTTAGTTTGCAGTTCTGCCACCGTCTTCCCAAACTGCTTTAGTCAAGTTGTGAAGAAGTCATACAAGAGACTTGCTGAAATCTCAGGCAGTGTAGGAAGACTAGGGAATCAAACTCAGATTTGGCATTTCAGTCCTCTGGGCTCCTTTCATTTGTTCCAAATCAGTGGTGTGGAAGACAGGAAAAGGCTTGTAGACTCCAACCCCATTGCAAAGGATGATAAGGAACAATTTTTAGTGCGATTTTCCTAGAAATGTGTTTTACTGCAATTTCCTACTAAGGCTCGTGGAAACATTTGACGTCCTAATGAATTTTGGAAAACAGGAAGAAAGGGCCTGAAGAGTTTTTCCTGAATTCTTGACCAGCTCTAACACTTAGAAACAGTCAGTATGAGATGTGAACGACTGGCTGCAATCTGGAACAGTCTGATTTCAATTATCTGACAGAGAAACACTTTGGGGCAGGCAGCTCAGGACTGCCTACTCTGGGCAAATGGCCAGCTTGGAAAAACTGGAGCAGAGACCACAAACAGAACTTCTGCGGTGCCAGTGGTCAGAGATCCCAAAGTGCCAGCAGGTGGAGCCATCCACTGCAACCATTAAAGCACTAACCTAGCTGAAAATAAGAAAAACCGGCCTGTAACAGCCTCAGAAAATTGTTTCACGTCGCAATTCTGCCAGGAAAACACTCCAGATGCTGTCAGCATTAGGGTGAACTGGGTTCTCCTGGTGCAGCTTCAGTCTGGAAGTAAGTCTGCCCCTCCCTTCCAGCACTGGAGACTAAACCCCCTAATTAGAAATCATCACATTTACCCACCCAAGAGATCCTTTTGCAATAGGACAAATCAGAAGTGTCTCTTCACCCCACAGAAAAAGGGAATGGTAGTGAGGTAAGGTGACTTGCCCCACAGCATTCAGCAAACCTGGGCTGGATCAAGTTCTGCTACAACCCTGCCAAAATGCTGAAGTTCTGCTTTTTTCCTGGCTGCTCTCAACCACCCCTGAGACACAACACAGAGCAAAGCCAGACGGAAGTGGTGTGGTGTGCCCTGTCCACATCACTGCTCCCAGCACACTGGGCTCTTGGCACTTCTTGGTACTTCTATGCTTCATCAGTTCCTAATTGCAGGATTGTTCCTGGGGAAATGCTGCCTGGAAGCACACCAAAGAACAGCTCTGGGACTGCCTCAGCAAAATGGGCAAAATGGATCACATTGAGACCCCCACCCATACCAGTGAGCACTCAGCAGTAACATCAGTCTGATGTGGGAGCAGAAAAGGAGCTTCCAGCCTCACAACAAAAATCCTTACCATGGTGCAAATTTGGTTGAGTAATCCATTCCCACCAGTCCATTCCGAGTCTCCTTGTAAGACGCAACCAGGTTCTGTGCAAGCAAAAGAACAAATGATTTTAATATTTCTTATGCAATCTGTTAAATAAGCTTTCTTTTACACTGGGGCCGCACTGGGCTCCCTCTCACGGCTGCCTGCAAGGATTACAGAGCTGCCAAATGACTGCCTCCAGTGCACAGGAATGAATCAGGCCAGCAGTTTTCATGATAGCTCTGGAATGCACGTCACAAGCTATGCTCGCTGCTTCAGTTTGTAGTGCATTGCTTTCTACAAGCACTACGAAGCTGGCTGTGCTGCTCCCTGCACATACCTGCCTGACTGTGGATCAATAATCCACTTACAAGCACCAGTGGGACTGGCAGCTGGGTTCCTTGTCCATGTGGCTGCTTGTTTGAGTCTGAGAACCACAGTTTCTGACAGTACCCAACACTCAGCTGCAGGAATCCTGATGGCTCTTGTTTCTGGGCCACCTACATCTTCCATTTTCTGAACACTTCACTCACGATGCAAGGAATATAGGGAACCCTGATCTCTCCTTGATCCCCTTCTCTGCGCAGGTTCCAATTGCTAAAGGTCTGTTCTAGCTCACTGGGGAAGACACTATTTGCATAACAAACCAGAAGATTTTCCAGCACTGATTCTATTAATGCTTGACCAAGAGTAGAAGTTATGCATGCATGCATGTAGTTTTGACTGGAATAGTTTTCTTCATAGTAGCTGGTATGGGGCTGTGATCTGGATCTGTGCTGGAAACAGAGTTGGTAACACAGGGATGTGTTTGTTACTGCTGAGCAGTGCTTGCACAGTCAAGGCCTTTTCTGCTCCTCACCCCACCGGTGAGCAGGCTGGGGGTGCACAAGGGGTTGAGAGGAGACACAGCCGGGACAGCTGACCCCGACTGACCCAAGGGATATGCCATACTACATGAAGTCATGCACAGCATATAAAGCTGGGAAAGAAGGGGAGACATCTGGAGTGATGGCATTTGTTTTCCCAAGTCATCATTAGGTGTGATGGAGCACTGCTCTCTTGGAGAGACCTGAACACCTGCCTGCCAATTGGAAGTGGTGAATGAATTTCTTGGATTTCTGTGCCTGTGCATGCAGCTTTGGCTCTACTTATTCAACTGTCTTTATCCCAAGCCATGAGTTTTCTTATTTCTACCCTTCCAGTTCTTTCCCTCATCCTACTGGTGGGGAACAAACGAACAGCTGTGTGAGGCTGAGCTGCCTACTGGAATTCAACCAGGACAATGCTCCCCAACAGCAAAGGAATACAGGAGCTTCTGTAGCACAGCTGAAAGAACCCCCTGGGGGTTGTCCCAGTGATCCACTGAGCACAGAACACTTCTTTAGCCATCTCAGCTGAGGAGATGCTACCCTCTTTATCCACAAAGCTGCCTAGGGTCTGATGCTGTTTGAAATCAGCACAAGTCTTTGTCTAAATTGACACAACGCAAATCTAAGGCAGTTCCTCAAACTAGACCAGAAAAAGGTTCAAAACCGGTCAGAATGCACAGGCAAAATGCAGTCAGCAGCAGCTTCACCTCACCGAAACAGGGGAGTAAGAAGTAACTGTAATTATTGACTGTAAACTTTTAAACCAGACTACTAGGAACTTCCTACTATTTTTAACTGCGGGCCATAGCTTAGGTTGGTTGTTCCTCACCCCAGTGGCAGCTGCAGCCCTTGAGGCCACTTCTCACTCCTCAGAAATGGAGGAACTACATTGCTGATGACGTGGGATAGGAGAGTTGAAAGGACGAATCAAGGTAAAGGAGCTAAAATATCATCCCAATTCCCAAAAGTTGATGTAAAAAAAGACTTAAGATGGATGGCCACTAAACCAGGTCCATAAGTATTTGGCTGACATTCCCAGTTCCTGGATGACTTCTTTTTCATTTGGTTTGTCTCTCTGAAGACTTGGAATAATGCTAATTCCCTCCTTTGTAAAGTGTTATACAGGAGCTAAGGAAATATTATTAGGAAGTGAAATTGCAGCCTCACCCACTTGCACAGCCGTATGTACAAGGGGGAGGATGTAGACAAGGAAACATAAGAATTACCGTGTCCCAGAAATAATACTGCAGTCTCATTAAAGCCTGGGTCTCTCCTCCACTGCCAAGGAAGGCTGTTCGTGGATCCGTGTCAGGATCTGCCACAGAAAACACCACACCTTGTTACCCCCTTGGAAAGCAGCTCAGAAGTAGGGAGATCAAAATCTAGGGATGTTCAGCTCTTCTTGGTCTTCCTTTAAAACAAAGGGACACATGAAACATACTAAAAATTAACGACTAAGAGGATGTTTGCCACCCAGCTGGAGGGCACCTCCTCCAAGCAGGGAATTTACCTTTATTTATGAGTGAACAGAGGCTTAGTTACAGTTTAAAGGGCAACCCCTGCCTTTGGGAGGCCTCCATGTTCTGATTCTCAGTAAGAGACAACTCTAAGTAGGATTCCACGGGTGCAACTTTCTTACCCTTCTGCCCCAAATCCTCCATTGTAGGGATACACCCTTCTTCCACCCCTGGAGCCAGAGGCTGTAGCTGATCTACCATCCGCAGGGTTGACCGGACCTTTGCCTCAGATTCCACGGCTTTTCGGAAATGGGTGTAGACATCGGGCAACCTGCACAGATCACACCACAGTCACATCTCCTTGGGCAGGACAGCTACCCTGGGCCTCACACACAGCACCTCATGGCTTCCTCAGATGGAGGGTTTGTTTTCTGGCTGCACTCTCCTGAGGGTTTGTTGTACATTGCCTGAAACAATTGAGGTAGATGCCCCTGGGGCTAGCAACCATCAGAAATTCAGTCCTTCACCCAGTTTCTTTCTGCTTCTGATGCAAATGTTGCCTTTTCAATTTAAGATGTGTCCTAATGGGGCAATCCATGAGGGTCACATTTATCTCACATAAGTTCTGATTACCCACTGCTAACCTCAATGTAAAAATTTGCATCCTCTTGCTGCCTTTTCAGTCAGTAGAGAGAAACAGGCATTTTTATGGCCTGACTCTTCTGTCCTACATTATGCATTTTCTATAGGATACCATGAATCACTCAACTCCATCAGCTACATCTCAAGTGACTATTGAGGGAGTCATGAAGAGTCCACAAGCAAAGGGATACTGTCATAGGCAGCTGCATTTAGCCAGATGGGTTAATGGAGTGATCCAGTCCAATATCACATGGACTCTGGGCACTGCAGACTGAGTATCCAAACCATGGTGGTCGAAGGGCAAAGAGAAACCAGTCCCTCAATAAATGGTCAAACAAACTTCTCAGCTTTATACATATTGAAGTGTAAACCCTACTAGTACAGAGGGACGAATGTGTCCCTTCCCACTGGAGTGTATGAGCATGGCAGCACTGTTCCATAAATGCAGATGGGGTAATGAGTCCCTTTCTCTGTAGGAGCAGATTACTAAAACCCCTCCTGAGCAGTTCACTGGAGTGAGAAACAAGTGAGACAGTGGAAGAGCGACTGATACCATGGAGCAGCCCACCTGGCAATAGGTCTGAAGGGAAGGTCATCCCGATGATACAGCGTGGATGCCCAGAATGTGTGAACCTTCACCCCATGCTGACTACACACCTGGAACAGCTCCTTTTCCACATCCAGCTCCTCCTGTGTGGCCTAGGGAGAACAAAATGCAGTGAGGCCAGCTGCCTTTAGAGAGGTGCACACAGTCTCCAAGTCTTTCCCTCTGCCAAACCCAAAGCATGTTTTCACTATTCATTACTAGGGCCAACACTGAAATAAGGAACTCCTTGATGTAGAATGTTGCGGATGTTTTATGTTTGCATGGGCTGGAAAGGTGACCAGATAAATATATGCAAAAGAAATCCACTGAGGGTTATTGAATATAAGGACAGAACTGCTATTTCCAGAAATCCTTGAGCCACGGATTCTTGGAGGCTGGGAAGGTATTCAGGGAAAGTATCTTTACAGATTAGTCCTGCTCCTGGGCATCCGTAATTGGTCACTGTCAGGAAGAAGGTTATGGAGTGAGATGAGGCCTTCTGTCTGATCCTCTGTGGTTGTTCTTAGAGCTGCATGGAATCAGGCACTATGAGAGGTGTGGGTTGTCAAGTTACAAGGGTCTTAGGCCTGACAGCAGGAATACCTGCAGTGCAGGTCACAGCAATTCCTGCATTAGGTCCCTCTGAGGTCCAGCCTCTGCTAATACTGAGTGCATCTACATACATACATGTATATACATATATGTGTGTGTGCACAAAGCCTCCAGATCTGGTGGTTTGGATCCAGAGCCCTCCACTGAACTTGCCAGGCTCTAGATCAAATAGCTCAGTGAAGCGATGTCAGTGACACACCAACCCCACTGACAGTCCAGGACTGGACTTGTCTTTTGTTCTTTAACACACATTGGTGGGCAAGTGCCTAAGTATGGGTGCTGTCAACTCACTGTGGGCCTTTTCTATGCTCAATACAATATGGCTGCTAGCAGCTAGCTCCCTGTGCAAGGAAGGTGCCAGGAAAAGGCACCTTGATGCAAACAGATAGGGAAATGGACTCAGCTGACCTAAAATGCCAGTTGCCAGAAACTCTTTTTCCTCAAGACAGCACCTGCAAGCAATCAATCACAAATAGCTGCTGCCAGCCAGCAAGGACTCCCACACAGACACCTACAACATCCCCATCCTAAGAGCTAGCCAGTTTCCCCAGGGTTAACATACCACAGACAAGAAAGGCTCTGAACACACAGGATCTGCATCACCCTTTGGTTGTGGAAGAAACCTCCACAACCTAATTTTATCTTTTAACAGTGTCACTCAAGTATTTCTCTTACCTCTTCATGGAAAACCACAGCACTGACAGAGCCCAGCTGAGTAATCAGATCACGGACCACATCTTCCGGCTTCCCCTTCCTCACAACAAGAGTACTGCAGACACAAAATACTGCCCTGAATTAGGTTTGATGTTAATGTTATTTGTGTATACAGGAGCCCCCTAGTCCCAGCCTAGGAACCCATATATTAGTTCTCTATGGAGCATGGACAGCATGTGGAGGCAGACAAACAGGATTTGACAAGCCTACGTTTTTAGGACTCAGTGAACATAGTTTGTTAAGCCTCTGGGGCTTACACACATTTCTGCCACCCCAGATGCCTTAGAAGGGATGACTGGGCATAAAGCCAGGCTGTTACCTAAAAGCAAATCTGTCAGATCTGTTCATCCTCACATGCTTAGGCTGAGATTCAAGAAGTGATTCCTCTCTCAATTGCATTCACAAGAGGTGGCTGCTTGTGGGCAGACCCCTCTCCACTTTCATGTGGTGGTATTCAGAGGAATTCTTTCCTGTGAATGCTCTGTGTTCATAGAAGAGTCAACAAAACTTCCCTCCCACCTTGCAACCTCACCAAGTGCCCAGCTGTGTACCCAGGGCACCACACCAAAATAGAAGCTGTAGTGAGATAGTTGGACAGAGATGGGTGCAAAGTTTTGTGAGGAGCCTCATACATGACTCTGTCCCTTTCCCTTTCTCTCATGTGCACTAACGCAATCACTACTGTGTCATCTAATGGAGGCCTGTGCTGAAGAATAATTTCTTGAAGGGGCAATACAGTGCTTTTGCCAGAATACTGTAAACCAGAACTGGAAAGTTTCTTCCAGAGATGGGCTGAGCCTGAAGAAGGCAAGAGCAAGGGGTGCTGCCGTGAGAGCTGGTCCCCTTACTTCCCACAGAAAATCAGAGCACAGGCTTCCCACAGAGAACAGCACAGACTGAACATGGAGATTTCTACCACTGCATTACTACTATGTCTTAGCATGGTTCTTCACAACCACACATCTCTCACTGCAGAAGACCAATCTCTTTATCTGCCACTGACAGCACCACAGCAGCATTCAAGCAGCTCTGAATCTGTTCACTGCAGAGTGTGGGTGCAGATACCCAATCATCAGCTTTTTCAGTCTCGTATAACATTCACCATGTGCATGGTACACACTGCACTGCAAACCCAGAGCTATTCCTCTTGCTTTTACCACCACTGTTATGCTGCTCTGGGAGAAGACAGGCTGATCTGCTAAGCAAAGACAGGTATTAGCTGATAACAGATTCTTCAGCATGTAGATCTTCATTCCCTGGTCTACTTGAGTTATGGTTTCTAAAGGCATAATGAAGGAGGAATCTCTGAAGACCCCTTCCCACAGTGTAGCCTAACTAAGAGATTGGGTTTAGCAAGACAGGGCATGCACAAACTGAACTCCCTGGTCTCACAAGCCAGGATCCATGTTGGTCTCGCAAGCCAATTCCTAGGGAAAACTCACTAGGCACAAGAAAGGATGCGTGCAACAGTGGTTACCGTTGCTGCCTGCACCTCATAAGACTGCCTCTCATGACACCAATCATCAGGACTCTGGGCAAAACGCTCAAGGCTGATGTCCATCCTGTGATATCTGAGTTCAAGAGAACAAACCCTGCATGGCACACAGTCTGGATCACTCTTTGGTCCCTTGCAGATGCCATGGCAGGTCATCTGAACAGGGGTTATGTATGGGACCTTACTGTGTCTAACAGATGGGCTGGCTCTCTGAAACAAACCAACATCAGAGCCCAGAGTATCTGACATGATCTGACTCATAGCAGAGATATGTGTTGAAAACAACCCGGGAAACAAAAATGGATGGGTTATTTGCATGGCACTTTCTCAATTACCTTCCTTTTTTCTTGAGCGTTTCCCTTAGATCCTTCACACTTTCCAGCAAAAACCTGAGCCGGTGGGGTCCTGTCTTCGGGAAGCCATACCAATGGGTGCGCAGGTAGTGCCGCGGGTCGAAGCAGTACAGGGGAACAACAAAATCAGCGTTACTCTGAGCCCAGTGGAGCACCTGGAAACACAGAAAGGGCCATGACAGCTCCCGGGGGCAGGCTGCAGCGCGCTCCTCTCCACAGCACAGCCAACGGTGGGGTTATTCCTACTGAAAACCCCGCGGAGGGCTGTGCTGCCGGGCGGGCCCTACCTGGTTATCGTGGGCACGCAGGTCGCAGCGCAGCAGGCAGATGGCCGTCCTCGCCGACCCCGACATGGTGCCTCCGCGGGGCCGGTCCCGCCTCACCCGGGCCGGCTCTGTTCTCTCTCAGCGCGGCCCCCTCAGCCCAACTCAGCTTTGCTCTCCTCAGCCCGGACCGCTCAGCCCCCCCGCTCCCGCCTCACCGTCCCGCCTCCCCTCTCCCGCTTCACCCCTGGCCCGCCCGGCCGGGGAGGAGCCGTCCCGCCTCCGGCTCCCTGCGGCCCTGCCCGCGGGACGGGCAGGAGCCTTCCCGCGTCCCGTGTCCAGCCTCGTCAGCGTCGGTCGGGGCTGTGTTTGTGCGGAGGGAGCGGCGGAGCGGGAGGCCCGTTTGCCTTAGTTAGGGGTGCCGGGGCCTATCCATGGCAGCCCCTCACCACAGCCCTGCCACAGCCGGTCACACGTACTGCTGAATTTGAGAGGGGGTTTTAACCTCGGTTATCTCTTCATCTTCCACATAGCAGCAGTTGGGATGCACCTCACACAGAGCCATAGCTTGGGTTGGAAGCCCATCTAGTTCAAAGCCCATCTACTCCAACCACCTGCAAAGAGCAGCGATATCTCCAAGTAGATCAGGTTGCCCAGAGCCACATCCAGCCTGGCCCCGAGTGTCTCCAGGGATGGGGCATCCATCACCTCTGGACAACCTGTACCAGTTAACATCCTCATTGTAAAGAATTTTTACCTCACATCCAGCCTGAATCTCCCCTCTTTTAGCTTAAAACCATCACCCCTTGTCCTATCACAACAGGCCCTGCTAAAATGTCTCTCCCCATCTTTCTCATAGGCCCCTTTTAAGAACTCTAAGGTTTCCTCAGAGCCTTCTCTTCTCCAGGCTGAACAAGCCCAATTCTCCCAACCTGATTTCATAGGAGAGGTGCTCCAGCCCTCACATCGGTTTTGTGGCTCTTCTCTGGACCCTGTCCATGGTCCCATTTTGCTGGGGCAGAGTCACGGTGAAACTGACCCCCTGCAAGGAGCACCCCTCACCCAGCTCCAGCAATTCGTATTGGTCAGTATTTATCCTTCAAGTGCCAAAACCATGATATGACCATACCCTTGCCTGCTAGCATGTGAATCAGACAAAAAGTGAGCTGTAATGTCTTTGACTCCCAGCACCAGCAGAGGTGGACAAGGCAAAATGTCTTACCTTACCCTATTAGTTTCATGAGTCAGTGTTGGACACCAGTGATCACACATCCCTTACTCACTGAATAGTCCCTTGGGATCCTTTTTTGTTCACTCTGCATCTCTCCTAAGAGGAAATGCAATCAAAACCCTGCTTGGCTGAGAGTCTCCAGACACATGCTCCCCTTGTGTAACTCCACTGGTTCTCCTGGAGTGGGAGAGGATGGTGAAGGGGTCAGCAAATTGCAGCAAGGAGTTGGTGATGATTGAAGATCCAGACTTACAAAAATTAACCACTGCAGCTTATTTAAGTACATGGATTGCTGAAGCAGAGCTCTAGGCAGACCCACACAGATTCTCAGATGCTCATCAGAGACCTAAATCCCAGCAGAGTCCTGGCTTTATTTCCACCTCTTCCAGGCCTGCAGGTCCTTTGCATGCAACCTGCATTGGCTGGCTATGGGAAGTGGTGCTGATTCCTCATGTGACCCACATGACACATCATCTCTTGATTGCTTTTCCATGCAACAAGGGCTCCTTTTCCTGGCTCCACAGACTGCGGCCTGCTATAAGAACCAGTGACTCATCCCAGAGGACTCCTGTTTGGTGAAAAAAAAGTAGAGCCAAAATTTTGGCTTGTGCCCAAGGAAAACACTATTGTCAGCTTGCAGTGCATATGCCGTAGAAGCCAACACCTCTCTTTATCATATTAAAAATGAAGGGATTTTATAAATACAGTCTATAAATCTTCCCTGTTTGTCTTTGCCTTCATTTGGACAAGAACAAACTGTGCAGTTGGCTTTGCTTTTTATTCCAGTGAGGCTTCCCCAGCAGTGCCTTGGCTGACATTAAGTTAGGCCAAGTCTGGCAATAAGGAGTTCCTCTTGTAGCTTACTCATAGCTGCTAGACAACCACCCACTTGCGTTGTAACTTCAAGAGGTCTTATTTCATGGGTGTGCAAAAGAGAGGTGCCCTACTGCCTAAAAAGGGTTTATTTCCCATTGGCAAAGGAGGCTGTTTTCCATTAAACAGAAATCTGCAACATAAAGAGAAAAGATATGAAACTCTTGATATGCCAGTTAAGAAACAAAAGTGGATTTAAAAGCATGTGGGTCTCTGCCAGCTTTCTGTTTGTATACATATAAAGGATGCAAGGTGTCCAACATTGCAGTAGTGGCAAGAGCATCATGACAGACTCTGCACCAACACGGTCGTTAAATGTGATGATCTAGGCAGCAAGAGTGAGCAGGAAAAGCAGAGGTTCACAAAGGAAAAGCAGTTTGCTTAGACCCAAACCCCAGACCTCCTTGTCCCCCACCCTTACACTGTACCCTTTCTGTCACATGGTTGGAGGTCAATTTTACTTCCTTCATACTCTTGTAGGAGAATACAAATCCCATTGCACACTCAAGCCAGTGAATTCCAAAATAGTGCTGACTGCATCCATACTGCAGTCTACCTAGATAATAAAGGATGAGTCTTTTAATCACACAGTTGTTTCTCCTTAGATTCTGCTCAGTCCCTGCTTCTGTGAGACCTTATGAAATCATCCTCTGAAAATACGTGTAACGGGGGTGTTTAGGAAAAGCCGTGGTGAGGAATACTTTGTTCTAAAATTAGGAACCAGGAGACCTGGCATGGTGAACTGCAGGCTCTCCAGTCTCCTTGCCTGGATTTTCCATTCAGATGAACACAGTCAATGAGAACAAAAGCTCTGTTTTTTTTTCCACTGACACTGTCTCTTTAGTCCAACATGGTGTTCCAGCTTTCCATTCTGCCTTTGGGAAGCAGAGAAGCTTCGCCAACAGGTGTAGCAGTACCAACAATCTTTATGCCTGTATGGAGAGGAACAAGCTTTGCACTGACATTTTTGTTCTTTTAACTGTCCTCCAGGAAATGTCTTCCTTCCTAGAGCCCAGAAGTTGTTAGGAGGTTGATGGGACATGGGGGGAGGTCTGTGGACTTTGATAAAGTTAACAGAGGACCTGTGATGGGAGAATTGGATAGCTATCGGATTCCCAGACCTAAGAGAAATCAAGGGACCAGGCTAGACAGTATCTAGGAATTACTTCTTGCAATGTGAACAGCAGCATGTGATCCCTCTGTTTCTCAGAGAAAACCTCATCAAACAGCAAGTCTTGGACAAGTCAATAATCATTTAGTAGTACTCTTCCACTTGCTGCTTTGTGTGTCCTTTTTCACTTGTTAAAGCCATTTGAGGTCTCTTCTTTATTCCTGGAGTTGAGCATTAACAGTCAGAAATGTCTGTTGTACACATCTTGGGTTACAGAGCCAGAGAACTGTACCTTATCACCCCTGTGGTAAGCTGTCATTGCATAGCTTATGCAGAACAAATCTGTTAGAAAGGCAGCCAGTCTTGTGACAGAGCAACTGGAGGGGGGCTAAGCTTCCTCCTCTCCTCTCTCTCTCTCCCTCTCCCTTTCCCTTTCCCTCTCCCTCTTCCTTTCCCTCTCCCTTTCCTTCTCACTCTCCTCTCCCCTTTCTGTAGCTAGCTTTTATCTGCTGGACAGTTTGCCTCCAGGAGTGCTGTGTTATTGCATCACTGATTACAGTATTTGGCATGGCATCATCAATATCCATGTTCATAAGCATCTGTGCCGCACTACATTCATGATGCAATCCATAATCTTCATTCAGATGGTGTTTCACGTGACTGAAGTAACAAACTGGCCTGAATAATTTCCTTTTTCATTTTGAAAACAAATCCCAACTATTGTTTCTTTTAAGACTCTGTGAGAATGATGCTTTTGCATGTAGCTTGTCATGCATGAAAAGTTTGACATCACTATTTGATGTTTCACTGAGTCTCCTGCTAAGCCCTTTACAGAATCTTAAATCATGTCATCATTAGCTGTTTTCATAAAAGCATAAGACCTCCACTATCAACAGATACCACAGCACTGCTCAGACACAGACTGTAGTGATTCTTTTACCAGTTCTGCTGCATCCGGGCATATGCTGTAAATGTATCATCTTTGTCTGTGACAACTGCAATCTCATTTTCTTGGATTTGAGTAGCATGCTAAATCCTGTCCACCATCATGAAACACCTCTTTCTTTTCATGCATATCTGATACTCCACCTAGATCGTTCAGCTTTTTGAATCAGTAGTAATAGGGGCAACCTGTCTAATGACAAGACCTCCCATTCCAGAGACAAGGCTGTTTTGAGTGCAAAAGACTTGGCAATCCCTCTTGTGGTGGAAGCAGAAGGACATAGCCCTACTCAAAGAGTTCAGTTTACTGCCTGCATAAACGCAGCCACTCTTCTTGCTGGTCAGAGACTTTTCCTTGGTGCTATTTGTTACTCCTTCTGGTTTGGAGGGGTCTTGCCATCAGATACAGTGCGGGGACCACCTGGCCTTGGTTCTGCTATGATCATTCTTGCAGGAAAATATAGAGACCGATTGCTCTTTGTAGTTCAGCTTGCAACCACTATTCATTAAATCTGTCATTTCCTCTTCTGCCTTTCAGCGGTATTTCCTCCATCAGGAACCTAATGACCCTCTGCAAGCTGTCATCCACCTACAATAACTGGACCTGTCTGAGGTTTGCCAAGTGGCATAAATACTGTTTAGCATCTAGTCTAAGTTAGTGCTTATGACTGTCATGTGCTTTTGCTACACACTCTCACCTGACTTGCATTATGCCCTCAAAATACTAGATAAAATATTTACCCAGGTAAAGGGTCAGACATGCATAACTGCAGCTGAAGTAGCTTAATATCACTTCAGCGTACCCCATCCTCGGCTGATGTAATTCAACATGGCTTCAATAGAGCTAACCGAGAATTTGCTTCAACCCTCAGTTGACTCAAAATTTCAGTTTGAAAGGCTTCTAAAGCCAAGAAAAGGAATTGTGGTTTTGTGGTTACATCTAGACCTGAGAACAACATATCTTTGTTCTGTTTTGTCCTGTGCTTCTCCTTATCTTCTTGGAATGGATCTACAGCAGAATTTCTTCTGCTGTAAAAGAGATGTAACATCA